TTGTATTTATCTTTGAAATTTATTTAATTTCTGATAATTAATTGCTAATATAAAAAGCGTATACGTGAAGTCGGAGGAAGTGTTGCACCTGTTGCCAGTAAAGATTACGAAGCACCAGACGTCAGCATATGCATTATTTTTATTACTAATGCTGACTTTAACTATTAATATATCAAGAGTTAGAATTCAAAGCATCGGATTAATATTTATATGTGATTTGTTTTTCATATAAGAATATCTTTAACATCTAATTTTTAGTTTCTAAATAGGAATTTATAAAATTAATCTGCTTAATTTTATTTGGCTATAGAATCATATCTAAAATGGAAAGAGAAGATAATGAGAAGAAGATTTTAGTTAAGTCATGTAGTTATCATACCTAGAGACAAGATGCATTAATATGAGTATAATATAATTATGGATATGTTATACAACATATTCATAATTTTGATTCATTTTGCTGAAAAGGAATAAGTTGAATTTTTTTAAATACCGGAAATATTTTACTTTAAAGTATATTTTAAATTTATATGTAAGTATACCAATAATATTTAATTTCATATCCACATTATGAATGGAGAAACAGGGAATTTGTTCAAAATCATACAATTTGGATGCGTGTATTCAGTTGAATTAGTAATTTTTCTTTCTTTATTCTAAACCTGTTCGATTTTTTGTCTCATAAAAAATAAAAATCTTTTGTATAGACAACTTTTCAGGACGTTTCTAAGTTGTGAAATATTTTTGCGGAAGGTTTCAGTTTTAATCTCCCTGTTTGGCGTCTGAAAATAGCATTTATTTCAAATAAACCATTTGGGAACATGATTTTTGAAGCTCGTGGTGTTAATACCCACCATTCTTGCTGCAATAAATGCTATAAGAGTTTATATATCATACATGGTCATGATCTATTCATCACAATAAATTCGTAGAGTTAATCATTAATCTTTACGGTTACCTTCCTATTTCGTGAAGATGTCTAGCGTAAACATTGGTCCGTAATTGTAACGAGCTTTTGCAAATTTAATTTGTGTTGATCGCTAATTTCCACGTTATTCACACAAATTTTTCTAACTAATTTCGGAGGTGTACAGTCTTTTGAATAGAGGCTACAGTTTGAGGTTATGAACACAACGTTCGCTGGTTCGATTCTGAGCGGTAGCCAGGGAACATTTGTCTTTTACCTCTCGACATTCTCATGCTAAATATTTCGCAGCGTGGTTCTCGATGATTTTTCTATCTATATTTGTGACATCTGATTGAGAAACAGGGAATTTGCTCTAAATCATATAACTTGGATGGGCGTATTCGGTTGAATTAGTAACTCATTCATTCTTAGGCAGATGGCAGCACTCTACTATTTTACCACGTTCTATGATTTACCATGATTCGTCAAATAATCCACCTCAGTCTTAAGCAACGCTAAGGTCCGTTATATTTTATATAGGAAAAAGTTTTGATCTGGACTGCATTTTTATGGACATATTATTGTTACCGGTGTTAACTTAATTTTACAATCAGTGACTGAAATGTTTTTTGTCGGTTACTGACTGGAATCTAGTGGAGACATTCTTACAGTGCATGTTAGGTTTAAACAAGTTTTTTATTTTTTTATTTTAGTGCCGCAAGAAAATAAAATGTTTCTAGCTTGGCATAAAATCGCCCCAAGATACAACAGGGAGTTGTAAATATTTAACACATCTGAAAAAAAAACTTGGTAAATGCCTTTACAGATCAAATCAAAACTTTTGTTATCTCAAGTTTTTTTTTTTTCCATTTAAAACACCATGTCTTTTTCTTGGTTTTATGTCACTTTTGCACTGTTTATTTGTATTTGCTGCATTTATCTGTTTTTTGACTTTCAGATTAGCAATATGATGCAGTGTAGTTTCAAACAATTCCATCAATAAATCAATTAAAAATTGGGTTTCAGCTAAGTTCAACTTGTCTTAAAGCATTTTTTTTTTGAAAAAAAAAATATATTTTACTGATAATATTCTCTTCTGCTGCATTCGATTTTAAGTAAAAAACAGTTTTGCTCGGTTGCGCTCCATTGAATTTGTCTAAAAATATTGCGAATTCGATAGAAAAAGAAATTTTCCTTTTGCTAAAGCTATGTGAGCATTCTATTACAAGAGAAATTCTGTTTTCCATTCACGTCTGAGAGGAATGAAAAAAAAGACCCTTTCTATCCCAAGGCGAGATAGTACTTCACTAAATAAAACAGAAAAAAGAACATTTCTTTCTTAGATGAAACTCACTTTCTCTTGTAACTTTCAAAAGTATTCTACTAACTCGGAGGCTACTAGAAAGAGATTAAACATAGACAGTGCATGACCTTTTGCTAATACTATCGATTTAATATTTTAATAATATACACCGTTAAAAATTTCTAGGAAAAAATATCCAAGTAACAATTTATTTAATTGTTATATTTAAACAAAACAGTAAAATATTCATAAAAAAGATAGTATTCAAACTGTTAGCCATGGGAAAATCGTTTGCTAATCACTTTCGCCTAATGCGGTTAAACAACCAGGATTTTATCGCACCAACTAGGCTCATCCAATGAAACCAATTAGTTCCTTACAGCTGGATGCATATTATAGCTGAAAGGGATAATCTCTCAATCTCATGGCCGATCGAACGAGGGTTCGAGTCCTGGCGTTGATACTACAATATTTCCTCAATTTCCTTCCACACATGAGGAGTTTCATATCCTGCGCTCCCCAATTTGTGACCCTGAACTATTAGAAAACGATACTCTCATTCACGTTTAGATGGCAGCACCATAAATCTGTTAAAAAATGCCTACTGTTTCCTACATCCTAAGATAGGTGCAACAACCAGCTAAACTAATTAAACCACATTACTAGATTTATTTGATAAAACACGATCAACCACAATCTAACTCCAGTGCCCATTACCTAACTAAAAGCCTAGTTCCGATGTCCAATTAAATTTATTTTTTACGGTTTTGAAACCTTGCTTTTTGTGAATGTTTAAAAAAAACATACAGTTTTGTATTTATGGTTTTTTAACCATACGGTTAATTGAGTGGATAGAATACTACCATTACCAAATAGATAATTACCGTACATCCTCGAAGTTAACCGTGAACTTTACGGTTAATTGGGTGGATAGAATAATGCCATTTATTTTATCGTAGTTTTAGAAAGAAGATCCTGGCTGTGTATCTATAAATTAAAAAGATTAAAACTCTGCTAAATTAATATCTCAAATAATACAATCTCTATAAATACTTTAATCTTGACATAATACTCTGAATATAATGTGAACAATAACTGTTGTATGTTTTCTATTACTAATAATTGTGATAGAACATGCATTTTTATTATTTGAATATTATTTGTGACTATTTTTATTATTTGAAGAAATATCAGCCATGGAATGATATTATCCACGTAAATAAATAAACCAATTAAATATGTTTTTGAGCATAAATGGCTTAAAACTAGTTGATCTTATTTGTCATTTTTATTACAGAAGAGAGTGATAAAATAAAGGTGTAAAAGTTACATTTTGTTCTTATTTGAAGGTATTAGTAAGACATTTCTCTTAGCCATTTTACAATAGCATTGATAATGCAGTAACTGATTCGTTGCTTTACAAATCAGTTATTGCATTATCAATATACTGTATGAGTTACTATATGAATAATGCCTTTGTCTCTTAACGAAAGCAAAGAGTCGCATAGTTCCATTTGTTCCAGTTTCTTTGCTAATGTTTTTTCAAGTGGTAGGTCTTTATTGGGTTTCGGACAAATAAAAAAATTCCTTCAGTAGCAGATATGAAAAAGACAAAACACGAAACAAATGCTTAGGTGTGAAAGTTAAAAGTTAAAAAAATAGTAAATAAAGGACTCTATTTGACATTGATCATACTCACTTTGACCTAAGACATACAATTAATCGGGTGGGTTCGTAAATGTTACGCATAGTTGCATCAAATATTAAAGAGCTTCTTTTTCATAGCTGAAAACAAACTAATGTTACAGATATAAGTACTTTATATAATAAAACGATAAACTTAGATTAACACAGTAAGATTAATTTTTTAACGGTTCCATATGGTTAATGTTTTTGGTGCTAAATTGAAATTTTAAAAAAGGGATTTCCTTTCAAATTTCTAGTAAAACAGAATATGTTTAGCTAATTAAGAAGGGATAGCAAATTTAAGGAGCTCACAAATCAGATGTCTCTTACGATGTTATTAATTTTTGTACTTATCTTTTTAGCTGCGTATGTTTTTTTACAGTTATTTTTACTAACTTCTTAGAAAAATACTGATCAAAATCTTATCTTAAAATCTTACGTTTAATCTATGTATAACAATAAGATTGAAACTATTCAGATACGAAAATAATTCTTTTAGTATCTTTTCCTTAGGGATAGCTCAGATAAAATTCTTTGAGAAAAGTTTCATAAATTCGAGTTAAAATATTTAAAGAGTTTTGAGAAAATTTTCTTATAAATATATTTTAATTTAAAATTATTCAATGCTTTTTTTTTGCATTGAAAAATGCAAGTTGGAACATTTTGAGGCAAAATGTCGCCTCTGCATTCCTTTTCCTCATGAACTAACATCGTAAAAACCGATTTGTCATGCAGTATACTTTTTCGAAAAGTATACGTGCCCTTTGAAGTGTAAAATTTTAAAAGGAATTTCAAACATAAAAAAACTCAATAAATTTCAAGCTATTTATATACTTGATATTTTCTTAGTATAAAATAAAAACATTTTATTAAAAAAAAACTGGAAAAATAGAACGTTTAACTTTACACTAATAATATCTAAACCATTTCAGAACATCATTTTGGAATAAAAACTATTTTTAAAAGTTAAAATTCAATATGATAAGAATAAAAGAGAAAAACATTTCAAATATCTTTATACATTTATTTAATAAATTTTTTTGCATATGCTTTCCAAACATCATTTTAAATAAAATAAAAAAAAGTTAATAGATATTTGAACTATTTAAATTTATTTAATGTTCTGAACCACCCAAGTCTCTTCTCCTATTCGTCCTCCAGAAGTCGGCGTCCATATTTGGATATAGCAGAGTCTAATGTAGTCCATATTTCATTAAGAGCATCTGTTGAGTTTAAAGATTTTAATAATTTTCCAGTTGCAGTAGTTACTGCAGTTGGAATAGCACTACCAGGTGCTACATTTACTGCTAGAGTTAACAGCAATGACAACATTGGCAGGAGGAGGAGTGCAATTCCACCGATAACATACGGCAAGAAATGACCGATCCCGTAGTCTTTTCCGTAGTAGTCATAACTTTCATATGGGTATAAATGCTCGTAACTCTTATGATGCCCATGGTCATGGTGTCCATGATGTCCGTGATGGTGTCCGTAGTGATAAAGAAATGGATCCTCATTTGAGTAGCGACTACTTTGCGACTTCAGATCAAAGTCGACATACTTTTTGTGCACATTTGTTGGGGAAGGTGGCGCTGCTGTCTTTCCAACTGTGGTTGAGCTTGTTTGTATTTGAACTTTTCCTACTGGCGTTGAGTATTTTGGAGTGGATGAATATATACAGACAGTACAGAGTGAAAATATGAATATTTTCACGATGAAATTCATTCTGAAAATAAAGATATAGCTTTTACAGTGAATGTAATGAAATATATATTTTTTTTATTGAGATTCAAATGAAGTGTCATTTTTGAAAAAAAAAATGGGTTTTCCAATTGAAAACTTGTATGTTTAAAAAATATACTTTGAATCTGAACAGTGTAAATATATTTTGAGATTGAAATTTATGTGTACCTTATCGATTATTAAATATAATTCAGGTTGCTTGAAATCCTGCGTTATTCTTGCATTTGATGCAAGAATAATGCATACAATATATTAATTTATTTATGCTGCTACATATGGCTTTATTGGAAATATTAATCCATATTTTATGGAAAATTAATATTTTATGGAAAAAAATTATGATCGGAACTACCTGAATATGGTAAAATCTATCGAGTTTCTGGCTCTATGTAAGCACCAAAAATCGCGCTAATTTTACCAAAGCATTTTAGTAAAATTAACAATTAAATGCGGTTTTAAAATACATGATAAAATTTGCTAAATATGGTAAAAATTGGCGATTTTATCATGAAACCTTATAGAATTGCATGAAAACCATTTTTTTGGTTAAATTAACTTCAGTTCTGTATGTTTACTAATTATGTGGTAATAAGAAATTTAATTTTAAAAACGAGAATTTTCGATAAGTCATTACCATAAGAAGAGAAAAAATACCATATAAATGACCGTATATATACCATAAAAATATACGGGTTATTAAATTCCGTATATTTTTGTTTTATTAACCAGAATTATGTTTTTCCTCTTTAACATAAATGTCATTACCACGCAGAATGGTAGTTTTATGGAATTTGTTTATTCGATTATCGAAGGAATTTAGTTAAATAATTTTAAAAAATAAAAGAAAATACAAAAAAATTTAAATTTAGCTATTTATAATCTGTCAATACTTTAATAAAAAAAGGCAAGATTGGATTTGAAAGTTACTAAAATTACTTTTAAATTCTTGAAAATTACCCAATTTAAATAAGCTTTATCAATTGAATAGTGTATTGGTGGAATTAAAAATTTAGGTTACGGGGGCAAATAATATATAACAATCAAAATGAACAATTAATAAAATAAAACTTTACTAATATCTTGAAGTTACTTCATCTCCTAACTTGAAACTTTTAATTACAAACTTGCCAATATATGAAAGAAATGGTATCTAAATGTTATTTTAACAATAAAATGCTTAACTTAAAACCGACAAAATATTCCCAGATTTTATTAAAAATAAGTATTTCTGTAAGTGAAATCGTAATGACTTTTCAGGCTTTTAGAGTAGCAAAATTGGCTTTAAATTACTGAAATTGCTAATTGCTATATTTGAATATATTACGTATCAGAGACGATTGAATCAATGAAATAGTTTTAAACTCCAATTTTCCACATTTTTTCTTGATTAGCAAGTGATTCATTTTATATCTTTTAATGTAGTGCATAATATGAAACTTATTAGAATATGAATCATTCAGCGTTTAGTCAAATATTCATTTTAAAAAGGATTGTATGTTAATTACAATGTTGTGCCCTGTAATTTCTATATATTGTATAATTATTTCTTCATTAGAGTCATAGAGTAACTATTTGTGTATGAAGAAGTGTGTATTGTATATAGGTGTTAAGAATTTTTTAAAAAAAATGTAATAATAAATATATGTGTAAACATTAAAATGGTTTAAATATACAATGTTTTAAATATAATTTCATCGGTTTAAATATATATATATATATATATAAACAAAATGAGAATTTTAAAAAAAAAGTATGATGTTTATTTTTATTTTTTATGAAATGCTGATTTTGTTTAAACAGACATTGAAAATTTTATTAAAAATATTGCTTTAAAATAAAAAAAAACTTAATTAAAGTTAAGGATGTTTCTGCCATGTTCATATTACACTACTCATGTTTCATAAATTAAAATTAACTTTAAAAGTATCCCTTTTCGAATACGTTATAACCCACAATATTAATTTACGTTGATTAATCTAGATCTTCAAGATGTCGTATAGAAAATAGGAGATAAACAGTTTTAAAAAATTACGCATTTGTAAATTCCATAAGCTCTTTTAATGCCCGGGTATCAATGCTTTATAATTTGCAATTAACCAATCCTTGTAAAGAACCCTTGCGCACAGATTGAAATATGTTTTCTTTAAAATACTTTACAAAATAGTCTGCCAACCATTAACTATAGATTGCATAAACTCTTGCATTTAAATCCAACTCCAAAACTCAGTTTTTTAAGCTAAAGAATAATGACCCTTGGTATAAATAAATATATATAACCATTCTTGTTACTTTTTATGATTAAAATACTTTTTTCCTCTGAGTTTTAATGGGTTTTTTCATTAAGAAAAAGCAATATCTTGAACTTTAATTTTAGGATTATTATATAAACATTTAGCAAATAATATCTCGATACTAAAAAAGAGAATAAACTCTCATTAGCAAATGTAAAGTTGAATTCCCCAAACAGCAAACGCTACTGTACACTGCAAAAAATTCAGGATCAAATCACTGCGAAAAGTACCGACATTTTAGGGTGCTGGTACTTTTTCACCGTAGAATGCATTTTTACGACTAGATTCGGACAATGAATCTGATATACCATAAATTTTACGGTAGTATTTACCATAAAATCGCTGAGTCACTGTAATTGAATAAATATTACTGTAAAAATTAAGATATAAAATTTTATGTTTGAAAAGGAATTTTACTGTAAAATGGATTTTACGCAAGATGCACTTAGAGTGCCAGTACTTTTTACTGTAAATTGAACCGAAATATTTCAAAGTGTACACTGTTTTGTGAGGTTCCCCTTTAAGTTGCATTTTGATTTTCTGCGCAAAAACTACAAGGCTTTAGAAATTAAAATTACAAAGATATGCAGAAAAATGTACAAAACGTAAAATGAAGCAAGAATCACATTTGGTAATTAGTTTTAGTATTATTTACTGTTAAATTTTCAGCAAAAAATAAATCTATGCAAGGCGCAGAAATGCATCGCCTAAATATAAATTTAAAAATTAATAAGAAATTCGATTTTTGAAAAGGAGATATCTAGATATGCTGAACGGACTATTTCTATTTATGAACGTAACACATAGTTTTATTTTTTTAAATTCCTATGTTTTGAAAATTTTCGCAATTTTACGTAATTTTTTTATCACAAATTTTTACTTAATTTTTGGATTTAAATAGGGATTATTTATCCTTTGTTGTGGAAAAATGTATCTATCTCTTTCGAGATTGTTATTTCATAAACTTGTGCTTCAGTTGGTGTCAGAAGTTAAAAAAAGAGATTTAATAATGTCAAATGTAAATATATATTTTTAAAGCTGCCAAATATTTTTTGAGAACATACAAGAAACTTAATTTAAAGGAGATAAAATAAACCTTTGCTATTACAATTGTTTTAATCATATAATTTCCTTTAGCGAGTAAAATTAATTACTTCTGTTCAGTGGCATAATTTGTATTTTTCGATTTAAAATTTATTTGCAAGTACATTTAAGAATTAGGTGGTCATTCATAACGCTATGATTAACTTAATAACAAAATGTCTATACATGAACTATAATAAATATATATGATAGTAATAAAATGTTCTTTGATTTTGTGGAAAATATTGTAAAACAATAGCGGGGGTTAGGGAGTGGAAATTCTTGACATTATGAAAATATTCAATATTATCTAAAATATATTTTAAATAAGATGGGACTTCCTCGAAAAATAAATATTTGTACAAATAGCATATTTGGTACTCTCTTTAAAATCATTTTATATTCAAAAGTTTAACTCGTTATTTTTCGTATTTAATTCATTTTGAATCCAGATTTGTTTGACGCAACGTGAATAAGTATCTTAAAACTGTTAAGTAAATATTTAACTCTTACTAAAAATAATGAATTTTAAATTGCTTTATTCGTTTCTTTAAAAATATACTCGATATGTTTTGTGATATTAAAAAGTAGAATGTGAAAACAAATGAGAGATATGTGTAAATACCAAAAAAAAAAATTGACATTTAATCTGCATAAGTAAAAAATACTGTGAAAATGCTTTATCAAAATAGACTTAAAAAATGCATTAAAATTAAAGATATATTTTAAGATGCATCGGTCACATACACATACTACATACCTTATGATTGATTTGCTGATGAAAATTAAGAGTAATCCTTTTTTGTACAGATAAAAATTCACAAATTTGATATATGTTGATGAATCTGCATCTGAATCATGTTCTGAATGAGATGGGACCAGTTGAGAGATAAATAGTTGTGAAAATTACATATCTGGAACTATCTTTAAGATATTTTAATGCTCCAGATTTTAACATTTTAATACTTGACAATACAATATAGGTCATGTTTTTAAAAAACATTGTAACCAAGGAATAAAAGACGGGATATTGAAGAATACTAACGTGATTTTACAAACAAGAAGACCAAATCATCGGTTCATGATTTAAATAAAAAGCAACTCCTTTTATTTCATTTTTTATAAATTCTAAACAGACCATTAAAATCGAAATTAGACTCAGGTAAAAGGCGGATTCTCTTCAAAGAGATAAAAAAATGAACGTTTTCTTTTTGGATTAAATCATTGGAGCGGATTAGAGTAAAACGGAGAAAAGTTGTAACGATTGTTGCATGTGAAAAAAATTTCAAGTTACGTGACATTTTCTCCACGCGCACTTTCACGGACAAGGCTTTTAACTGTGTTTACGCTACGATTAAAAGTGAAACGTTGTATTTACGCCTTAAGGAAACAATAGCAATAAAGAGCCTGAGTGTAAGGCTTATGTTGATAGATTTTTTTTTTTTTTACCTAGTCTGATAAAAATGTGTTAGTTTGATTAAGTGGGGGTATAAAATTGTGTAAATAAGAGAAATTATGTTGATATTTTAGCTAAATATAATTGCAGTTTAAACCACGCGAGATTTATTATCAAATTAATTATTTTAATATAATTTTGGCTTAACTATATTAAAATAAAATATTTTTTAAATAAATCAAAATTTATTTCATGGATTTGAAACGTAAAATGTTTTTGAAATAAAAACATGAATTTTTGCTTTGAGCGCAGTTAGTATAAAAATATTTTTATTTTGGAATTATTAGCCCTGTTGATGCAAATAATCTGGTAAAAAAATGCATTAGTGGTATAAAAACAGTATAAATGATAGAAATTAATATAATATTTTTAAAAAAAATTATAATTTTTAAGAATTTAGGAAAGCAATAAATGTATTTTCATTTCACGCTATCTAAGAACATATGTACTATTAAAAACATTTTTTAACATATAATTTTACGTTAACAGATTTATTTTTACGTTACGTTATTTTAGAATATTGGATTAATGACCTTTTTAAAATAAGAACTGATAAAAAATAGGTTAAAATAAAATAGGTCTGTGTTGGTTGGTTGGTAGGTTTCGTATGCCTGTTTAGGCAGAGGGATGCGATTGTTCTTGCTTTCCAATGGCGCCATCTATGGCTAAGAATTCGACTTCTGCCACACCCATCCGTCGCACCCGTTTATAGGGGTATACGGATATACGTTTATATGTATGTGTAAAACTATTAATTAAAACTGCGTAAATAAATGTAATTTGTAAAAAAAAATTTCAATTTTTTTTCTAAAGTTAAAAAAAATGTTTTCTAACTTTCTGTTTCCCTTCCTAAAAATTTTTAAAATGAACAAAAAATGCATTTTTTTCTGTTTTATGTTTTGTTTTCGAATTAATACACTATTGAAACTTTTTTTTAAAGAATTCAGAATTTTCGACATATTTTTGAGAAATAAAAAAAAAACTTCTTACACAAAATTAAAATTTTTGTTTTGTAAAATATTCCAGATTTTATTTGTTTTGTTTCATAGAGTTTTGTAGTTGAAGATGCTTTTTGAAAAGAAAGTTTATCTACTTTTTCTAAGCATATTTTTATTTAAAATTCTCACTATATTTAGAAACATACATAAAACTAACACAGCATGGAAAGGAAAAGATTATCTCTCTTTCTCTTTTACTTTTTTGCAATCTTTTACGTCCATAAAAAGAATAGCATTACCCGTTTCTACTGCCTTGTTTACAAAGAAGATAAGTAAAGAAACATTATTTAGGTTTTTTTCTCCTCTTTTATAGTTTTTTTATTGCTTTGATAAAAGATTCGCAGTCAAATTTCAATACATTTATTCGACAATCTTTTAAACTTTTTGACTTTATTAGCTTTAACAATAAATATTTAAAGAGCATACAACAAATTAGTCCGTGATAGTAAATTTCTTAAATTTCAAGATATATAATGTTTTAAGCTTTAAAGACTACTTATGTTTTCTTACACAATGTCATATGATTTCATGTATGAAATATAATATACGCGTATTATAAGCATAATTTTTATTTCTGGAATTTTTTGATGATTTTTAAAAAGATATGAAATTTAATTCAGGAAAATCGATCCTCAGAATACTTTTCAGAGAATTAAATACCCATGTTGTGGGGGATTAAGGTGTAATGAGACCATAAAAATTATGAAATTTTGGAAACAATTATTTTTCTATGAAACATAAGGAAAATTTATGCTCACCACTAACTAATTTTTTTTCAATACAGCTGTTTTTTAAGATAATATAAAAATTATATTGGGCATATTACGCTAGTTTGACAAAAAGTTTATTTTTTTCCACAGTATATTTTTTCTGTACTCTACTTTTAAGGTTTGTTTCTAAAGTAATGGCAATTCACCAGGAAAAACCTTTAATAAACGTGCAATAAATATTATAATAAATTCCTTTAATATGCTCGCCGCCAAAGTCTTATATCTTCTACAGACATCAAACAGTTGTTGGCAAAGGTGTCGTTTGTTGCTGTCAGCAATGGAACCTTATTTTTTATTTTAACCTTATTTTTTTGGATCATACATGGTACGTCAGGAAATCGGATGCATCAAAAGGGTTCCTTCAGCTTAGGAAAGGACTCATGTGCGGTGAGTATAGAGGGTGTTTGAACACCACCTAAAAACGTCAACAACACAGAACCAAAATGGATGTCACAAGTTATAATTATTTCTGGAAAAATGGGAAAAAATGTATTAGTATAGAAATATTTCCATTATTTTGTCCAACCCCTGTAGTAACCAAAACAGGGCAACACAGATCTTATGTTCTATACGAATTGATGGCAGATTCGAAATTTTAATGGATAATTCACTCGCGGTTTATCACAAGAAACCACTTCACGATGTTAATGTGAGGTTGGAAATATAGATACTTGACTCGTTGCAGGCAAACCCGCAAAAAGTCCAACCAGTAATAAACATTTTAGCACATCGAGAAGCCATGCTATAACGCATTTTTGTCACAAGCTTCAGATAGTCCTCGATAACATTGCATTGCCGTTCTGCGGCTAACTGTCTTGATTTTATTCCACGACTACTGATACTTTTTTGTAAGCATTATCTGTGCAGCAATTGCCCTTTTTATTCCAATAAATGGTTTTATGTGCAGTGCGCAAAATAAAATCCGCAAAATAAAATAAATTTATAAAAAAAAAAAGCGAAAAACCCTGAATAATTTTTGATTTAATAATCGTATTACGTTCTAGGACTCAATCTTAATGGTCTGATATGATGACCTCAAATTGGCTAATTAATCAGCCCAGACGATGTTTTAAGTTACGAAATCAGACACAAAAGTGTGCTTTCTCTGAATAAACATACCTTTTTTCCGATGGCGGCAATTGCCCTTTTCATTCCAATAAATGGTTTTATGTGCAGTGCACAAAATAAAATCAGAAAAATAAAATAAATTTATAAAAAAAAACGAAAAACCCTGAATAATTTTTGATTTAATAATCGTATTACGTTCTAGGACTCAATCTTAATGGTCTGATGGGATGACCTCAAATAGGTTAATTAATCAGCCCAGACGATGTTTTAAGTTACGAAATCAGATACAAAAGTGTGCTTTCTCTGAATAAATATACCTTTTTTCCGATGGATTTGGATTTCTTACCTCCGAAAAAAAGGGAATGGTAGCAATCTGGGAAACATGGTCCCAATAGTTTGGTCAGGAGAGCAGTTCGCATTTTGGACACTTTAATGTTAATTTCACTGTTTTGCTTATTTAACCATGTCTGAAGAAGGTTTCTAACCAAAATGAATTTTTGCCCCACAGTTATAAAATCCGCTTATCCAAAAATAATTTCACTCAAAAAACAAGTTCTAGTAAGTCTTTATAATTTTTTCATTATTTTATAAAGTAATAGTCGGAAACATTTTAAATTTTAAGGTACACAATTTCTTACATTACTTTAAAAAATGTATTTTTATATTTCTGAATACAAAATTTGATTGAAATAGTTCCTGATAAATCAAATTGTGAAAATACAACTTTCTTAAAAATTAGATATCTCAGGAATTATTCTATCAATTTTACTCAAGCATTGTATTTCATCATGTAAATTTATATTCTTTAAAATGATGAAATGTTTCCGACTATTATTAAATAAAATAATAATCAAATTGTAAATATTTACTAAAATTAGTTTATTTTTTGCATGAAATTTTTGTTGGATAAACGAATTTTATTGTGTGCCAAAACGTTTAAATTCGCTTTGAAATTTCTGAAGAAATGGCGAAGTAGGCGAAAAGTAAAATGAGCATTAAGGATTCCAAAATATGGATAGCTCTCCTGACCAAGATATGGGGACCATATTTCCCAGATTGCAGTTAATTTTTTTATTTTCAGTGTCAGAAATCCGAATCCGTCGAGAAAAACGCATGTTTATTCAGAGAAAGTACGTTTTTGTACTTGATTTCGCAACTTAAATGCCTTCTGCACTTACTAATTAGCATATTTAAGGTCACCCTCTTGAGCTATTAAGATTGAATCCTAGAACGTACAAATCCGATGACTAGGAACAGCAAACAGTTGAAAGAAATAAAAACAATTTTTAAATTTGATATTTTCAGTTCAAATAAGGGAAAAGAGAAACGCGCGCTTAGTTTTTAAAGAAGATTCTGCTTCTATTTTATTTTCAACAGCGGATGCTTTAAAAATTATAAAATACCTTTCAGCCTTCTTTCAAACTATACTTAATTTGATACTATACGTTACATTTTAATTATAAACATTTTGTGTTTAAAAACATTATATAGTTTGGTTTATACTCGACTTTACTTAGTCAGATTATCAAATAAAATGGTGCTTAATTCAAAAATAGGTAACAGATTCCAGCAGTTGCTATAGTGCTTTCAATTTACGTT